CCCTCCAAAAGGCGCCAAATTCAAATTTTTGAAGGTGTTAATCGATTAACCAAGTCAAAATCAGTCCAGATTTTAATTTTTGACAGTGTTAATTGATTAACCCAAATTGTTAATCGATTAACCAGTGCAGGTTTTTCCTCTGCACGTGAATTTTCAAAGGGGGTCACTTTGGGGTCCAATTTTGATCACTTGGAAGTTCAATTTTACACTTAGGAAGGATCTAGAACCATCTTGAATTTTGCTTAATTTCATTTTCCCTCCAAACTCCCATTCCTCATTCTAAACCAAACTTCACAAACCACATTCCAAACTTCACACATCTAATCTTCATAATTTCATTCTCATTTTCAGAATTCATCTCAATTCTCTCAAGTTTCTCTCAACTTTCCATTTTCCAAAACCTTCACCAAAGCTCTCTTCCATTAGAATTCCTTGATTCTTCATTGGAATCAATGAATTCTTGAGCTCAAACCTTCATCCATCATCCTCATTGAATCAATTTCTTCATTCAATTTTCGTGCAAACTTGGATCTGAATTTTGAAGTGGTGTTGGAAGTGACTATTTGGAGTAATTTGGCTTAACTTTGGTTGATCATCACTTCTATTACAAGAATTGGCTTGGATCTTGAAGTATTCTGGATTTCTTGCTTAGATCTACACGTTCAAAGTAAGTCAACATTAACTGAAGCAATTCTCCGCTTCGAAGGTTGGAATTCTAGATCCATTGCATTTTTGAGCTTATTTTGCATAATCATGTTGATCTTTATTTTTGATTGATTTGATTGATTCTTGATCAATATGAATAGTGATGGTGTTGTTTAAATGTGTTTACATCTTGTTTAGATCACTGTTTTTTGGTTTAATTTCGTGCACATTTGTTTACAAGTTCATGTGGATGATTAACATATGGTGTTAATCGATTAACCAGATCAAATATTCAGTTTTTCAAGCGTTTTTCAATGGTTAATCGATTAACATCTGGTGTTAATCGATTAACACTGCTCCAACAGGCTTATTTTGTTGTTTTCATGCTTGTTTCGGTACCGTTTCACTTTGAATCATCATGGATCAGTGTGATGCATTAGGAGTGAGATGTTTTGGATATATGTCACTGTTCGTGATTGTTTAATCGTGATTTCATCGACACGCGTGCTTGCTTTCCACTTGTATGCATACTCTCGTATATTTTGTTCGAAGTGATGTGCGTTTTCTTTTGTTTTGCTTGAGTGTGAGAATCGAGTGGTCGAGATGCGCTTGTGGTGGCTTCTTCCCCGCACTTCTTTTCCTCCCACTTTTCTCCTATGATTGATGGTTGGTGGTCGTAGGAGTTCGCTTCTCCCATTTCATCTCATCATTTCTCTTTTGCATTGCGTTCTTTGCTTGCTTTCAAGAGGTCGAGACGCGCTTGTGGCGGCTGCTGCCCCACATTATTTTCCTCCCTCTTTGCATGTTTATTTTCCATGTTTGCATCTCTCACTTGTGATTGAATTTATCTTGTGCTTTTCTTGGTCTTTTGCCATGTTCCCTTAGGACTTCTAATCTTTCTTGTTCAAGATGGATTATGATAGACATTAGGTTCAAACCATGCATGCCAACATTAGGGTAGATTTTCCCCTCTTTAATCCAAACTTTAGGTCCACTTTGCATGACAACATTAGGACCGGGTTCCCCTTAGACCTTCCGTGTGTCTCTCTTCTCATCTCAAAACATGCTAATTCATCTAATAAATACGATGAACGTTGTACGCTACGAGCCTTAAGCACATGGGGAATGATGAGTGAGGGGTCTCCTCTCGCTTGTCTAGAGTGTTTAGTGTACGTCCCGTTTGGGGGCGATATGCGACGCATTCGTTCCTATTTCATAATCTTTAGTGCAACGTGAATCACAAACCGAATTAATTCACTTCACTAAAAAACACAAAACAAAACATCAAACTTTTTCCTTCGGGATTAATTGGGAAAACCTTTTTCATAAAAAAGAGTGTTGTTAAGCTTTGGTTCTACCGCAAACAGGCATTGTCCCTAACTGCTAGAACGAAGGTTTAACCCTACTCGGTTAAAACATTTGAACCAACCGATGTTCTTGTTCGCCTGAACTACGTTTGCTCTGATTCCTCATACCAAATGAGGATACGTAGGCACAAGACGACAATGTCTTGGCGAGCAAACTTCCCCACCTTTTACCCGTAGTTAGCCGAACTACGTTGACTCTGACTTTCCCATTGCATGAGGGAGTATGTAGGCACAGAGCGGCGATGCTCTGCCGAGTCTCTTTTCTTTTTCTTTTGTCCTGTGAGCCTGTAGCGTAGATAGATTAAACACACCCTTAGATAGATAACAAGTGTGGATCCCGTCGAGTACGACAGACGTGAGGGCTGCTCATACCTTCCCCTTGCGTAACCGACTCCCGAACCCAAGATATGGTTGCGATGACCTTATCTTTTCCCGTTTTCGTCAGGTTTTCTTCGCTCGTTTCCTTTCCCTCTCTTTTGGGATAAATAACGAACGGTGGCGACTCTTTTGTTTTCTGCCGGGTGTTTTTCGCAGTTGCGACAGTCCGTGTTCGATTCATTCCATCAATACTTCGTGCGTATGATCCTAAAAACTCATCGTGATTTTTCAACACTTGTCTGTGTTTGTTTCGATACTCATCTATATTGATCATAGATTTTTAAACACTCGTCGTGCTCTTCAACACTCGTCTGTATTAATCTTAGACACTCGTCGTGTTCTTCAAAACTTGTCCATGTTTGTTTCATTCTGCTTCAATAATTCATCCATATTGATTTTAGACACCCGTCCGTGTTCGCTCCATGTTTTTATACCTCAGCAGAGTCGTTTCCCCCTTTTGCAGATTGCAAATTTTATGGTTCTTTTGGTATTCAATCCCCTTCTACCTTGAACGTTTGAAAGCGTCTGCTATCATACTTTCAGGTTTAAAGGTTATTGAATAGGGGCAGTTGTTGCACCCGAAAATTTGCCCTCCCTTTTTGGTTTTCGCTTCGCATTCGTTTACATCTCCTGTTAGGCCATGCACTCGCACTCATTTGCATAATATCCTTAGGTTTGGGATCAAGGCCTTCTGAAGGATTATGGTTTTCTATTGGTTTATGGTTTCTATTTCATTAAAGATTAATTCAATTACTTTCCTGGATGGTGGAACTAGGGTTTTGGAACTATCATCGTCATGGGCATGTTTTTGTGTCACAATGTTATATTCTTCAAGGCTTCTCAACATCATCAAGAGTTTAGGATTGCATCAAAGTATTATGAAATCAGGGTGTGAATCTATATGCACAATGGATCTCTAAGAAAACCATAAGGCTGCTCTCCCTCAAGATACAAGGTCGTCCTTTTCAGTATTTCTCAAAAGCCTCAGTGAATACCTCGAGAAGATTAGGGTTTCTTACTCATGGAACTTTAGCCTGGTCAATTGAATACCAAGGTTCTTATGCTATGGCTTCTTTTCCTATTTACCATCAAAGGATTCTTTAAGAAATTACTATTATGTCAAGATATACCAGACATAAGGATCTGTGATATTCGGGACATTGTTTTCTATTCAAGTGTTCATTACTTGTGATGCAAGATGGTTTTCTTTGAATCTTGGTGGATTGTCATTTGATGTTTGGAGTTCAAAATTGTTCAAATAGATTGGCGTGAAGTTTTTGGATTTGATTCAAATATGATAAACTTGTGGATTTCAAGAATTTCTGGGAAGATTGAGTCTAAAGTTCAAATTGAAAATTTTAACTTCCTTTGATAGAATTCAATCGGTTCATGATTATGAATTCAAATGTTGCAAAATTTTAGTTAGGAATGGAAAAATGAACAAGTTAAAGTGTGAGGTCTTTTAACAAGCCTCAACCACTTCATCACCATTTCTTTTTAGAACACATGGATCAATTATGCATTATGGTGGCAAGGAATAGTAACCTGCGGCATTTTAGATAGCAACAAGTGAGGTATAAATATCATTATCTAATTCTCCAAATAATTTTGCAATATGGATTTGTCTCATGATGGACATTTATCGCACATATTCATAACACCTAATAGACATATATTAGTTACATCAGTTTGTTGTGAACCTAACATTGAGGCACATACTAGATTGATGGTGAGATATCAAGACAAGGAGTTATGCCTCCTACAGATACCGTGACCCCCTTTTGAGAAAATACTTGTGCAGTTTTGGTATGAATTAAACCTAGACCTAAAACTACTTGCTAACATCATGCATTTCCACTTCTCATCCAAGCTCAAGCATCACCTTCAATTCATGCATGAACATGAAGCGGTGCGGCCACTCGTTGAGCACACAACCTGTCCACAACACCATAGAAAACGGTCACTAAATAACTCCAAAAAGCACCATTGCAAAAACATGGTGAAGTTCACAAAAGTTAAAAGGAGTGGGTTAGAAACTTCGTCAAGAAGAAAAAGCCAACTAATGCATTCCAAATCCTGGAAATGGTTACAACATAAGAGACTCATAAATTAACCATAAGAATTTCATTTTAGTAATATGTTGCATCACAAAGTTTATTCACTTGCAAACCTACTGCCATATCCCCAAAGGCAATAAGAACTTGGGCACAATGCATCTTTTTGGAATTTGTCAGCTATATTTTGACAAATTGGCATACCTTTAATGAAACGGATATCCCTCGAAGCCTCTTCCAAAACCTGTTCGCACTGAGAAGCTCATTTCGACTTGTTTGTCGCATAGCAACCTTGAGCGTCTTCTTATGAATTTAAAGGCAATAGACCTAAGTATGTGCAAAAGTTGAAGAACCTTCCTGGTTTGTCTGGGGCGCCAAAACTCAAACAGTCGCACCTTTCCGGTTGTGAATAATCACTTGAAATTCAAAGGAAATTGTTGTTAATTCTTAGGCATCATGACCAATCTTTATTCAAGTTTTAAATCTAACAAGTCTACCAATTGAATTGCCTCACTTGGTACTTACTGAATTTGATGGTCTGAACTCATTAACCATACTACACTTGAAAGTTTGATGTAAGTTGCTTTCCCTGCAAATAATAGTTCCTTATCATCATGGCGAGAGTGAATATTATAACTCGCCGATGCCAGCAGCAACTAAAAATAATTCCTTCCCGAATCACCTGATAAAATTGATCAGTACGTTTGGAAGTGACAATCAGTCAGAATTTTAGAAGACATGATTTTTGTACTGTGCAATTAATAATTACCTACAGTGAAATCAAGCATCAACTAAGGAAGATGAAGTACCTTTGTGACACGAATTCTGTGCACCATCAAATGCTTGCGAGGCCATGAGGGTCGATATTGAATTTGTGAACATCCTCTGCAAATCATGACCCAAAAACCATCAACATCCACAAAACAATTCTTTCATTAGTGGCAGTCACTAATTCAAGAACATATGCAAATTAAAACTAAAAAGTGTCACGAGGCGTGATAGGAGAATGTGCTTACCGATGTTATTCACAAAAAGTTCAGTTCTAGACAAACTATGCAATTATGATTATCATTGAAAAAAATAGGAACTTGTTAGAGCATAACGAAAATTCGTGGCAAAGGCTCTAATACAATGGACTCACCATTCTTGCATGAGTTGACTCCCCGAGTTCTTACGATCTTCAAAGGGTCTTAGCCCAGGTTTGCAGCAGAAATGTAATGGATATTGTGATGTAATGGATAAACAAAAGCATTTAAAAACGAAGTCATAATCGTCGTAATTAGGGGTGATGAATCATGGAATTAATGTGAATATTTCATCAATCACCAAATCACAGCTTAATTCATTCCTTTCAATTAATTTGATAGAAGCAGAAACCAGCGAAAACAATAAGAGAAATCAAAAGCATCATATCTTTCCAAAACAAAATTAGCAAGTTCAATCGCAAATCATCATGAAAATCGGGCCATGACATTTTACTCCAAAGACAAGCTACAGCGGAAATCCTATGCATTTATTTCCAAATCAGAAATTTAATTGGCATATGCCTATAAATCACCACAAACACATTCATAGAAAGGGGACATATTTTCACGCTCGGATCATCATAAAAAGCATACACACGCATTGGAGAGAAGATACGACTCACAACAGCGATTGCGGTAGTTGGAAATTAAAGAAAGAAGGATTCGAATTTATACCTTATGTTTCGCATTGTTGCTGGTACTTTCCTTTCCATTCTCGTAATTTCTTCATTTTGCCATATCGTTCGAATTTTCCCGGATTTGAAGAGTTTGATGCTCACAACTTAATCGCATGAAATTTAGGAGTGAGCGAGGTAAGAGTGGAGAGAGGCAAACGAATAACATCGTGAAGTCTTCTCTGCCACCGCCAACTCGAAGTCGTGGCGTGGCGGAGCCTGTTGTAGCTATTAAAGCTTTTGTTCGAAGAGAACGGGGGAATGAGGCAAGCGAGAGGGAGATTGAGAAAGAGAATGGACGGCAAAAGGAGAACGAGACGGGGCGAAGAGAGAGGGTGGTTCGAGAGAGAGAGAGAGAGAAAAGCATAATGAGAAAGAAAGGGTTAAGTCCCTTAGGTTCTCAATTCAATAAAGTCTCCGACAAATTGAATTAGAGTAGATTTTAGGATTCAAATTTTGCATGATAACTTCTAGGGTTAAGTCCCCCATAGATTCTTCTTAGAGTCTTTCTTCTCATCTCAAATTAAATAAAACACCTAATAAAGATGATGTGTAAAGTGCGTCACGAATCTTAAGCACATAGGAAAAGATGAGTGGATGCATTCCTAACCTCATCTTAGGGTACTTTATGCACGAGACCTTTGGATCGTTAGCGCAAAGTATTCGATCCTATGTCATAGACTTTAGTGCGATACACGTCACGAACAAAGTTAATCCACTTTTGTAAAATCCTTGAACAAATTCAAACCATTTTGTCCTTTGAGTTTTCCTTCCATACCTTCTTTCAGAAAGGATATCTTACCTCTGTTCTACCGCAAACAGGCATCGACCCTAACTGCTGGAACATGAACTTAGCATCGCTCATAAAAGACACCAAACAACCTTGGTAGGTCGAACTATGACTGCTCTAACTTCCTCATTCTGTTTTGAATGAGGATACGTAAGCATAAGACGATGATGTCTTGGCGATCACAATCCCTCCATTAATCCGTAGTCCTCCGAACTACATTGACTCTGACTTTCCCATTGTATGAGGGAATACGTAGGCATAGGATTGCAAAGTCCTATCGAGTCTCCTTTGGTTTTTATCCCTATAGTTTCCATTAGCAAGTATAGCTTTAGATAAACACACCCTTTAACTAGAATAATAAGAGTGGATCCCGTTGAGTATAACGGACGCGAGGGGTGATAACACCTTCCTCTTGCGTAATCGACTCCTGACCCAGGATTTGGTTGCGAGACCATGTCTTCTCCCTTTTAAGGTTTCTTCGATCGTTTCCTTTCCCCTGCTGGGATAAATAACATTCGGTAGCGACTCTATTTTTTGCCGGTTGTTTTTCGCGTTGCGACAGGGTGCATTCCCAAAAAATGCATAGATTTTGAGATATGAAGCCATGAATTTAGGGTTTCAAGACTTTTTAAACCTTGACACTTAGAAAACTTTTAGGCATAATCTATTTTGTGTTTTAGCCAACTTTAAGGGCATTTTCCACAATGATCCAAATTATATAAAGACCAATTATGAACATCAAAGTTAAAGTAGGATATCTCAGCTTTCCTACAAGTACAAGAACATCCATTGATCATGCATGAGCAAGAAGTTATGGATTTAACAACATGCCTTGATCAGACTGATTTTTTAAGACAATTTTCATTTTTACTTGCATCATACGATATTCAAAACAGATTTGGTGACTTTACAAGCCTTGTCATCCTCTATGGTCAGAAAGAATCTTGTTGAATCACATAATATCTTCAAGTTTGAACCATAAGTTAAAGATTCTATCTCTTAGCATGTGAGAATCATCATTGCAAGGCCATGAACGCAAGTTTGATATTGTGCATTTTTGTAAAACATTGAATTGGCATGAAATGAGTCACGCTAGTTCAAATATGTTCAAAAACAATGAGTGTTCAAACCTGTAAAATTCAAATTGAGTCAACATTCTAGTCATGTTATATAAGAGTAATGGTACCTTAGCATTTAAGTTAAAACTACATGCCTATATCCATTGGAGAATAGCATGCTCCATCATCCTACACTATTCATCCAAATAAATCAGTTCTCCTGTAAATAGAGGACGTTTTGCATCAATTCAAATACACCAAAACAATACCAAAGCTTGTTTTCTCACATTTCCTCTCTTGTTTCAAAGTTACATAGTTCAAAAGTAGAGAAATTGAATGTCTCATCTCAGAGATTAAACCACTCAAACAACCACCCAAACACATCAAAAATTATCCCTTGAAGGTGTCCAAACCTTCATCTTCATCCCAAACCACCAAAATCAGAAAGTCAATTGTCAAAACCTCATATCTTTGACTTTTTGCATTTTCAAAGCCATGTCTTGATTCTATCCATTTCAAAATCATCCAACACTCCACATACTCTCTAAATAATATCTTTAAACTGTCCCAATAATAGTTTCTCAAGTGTGACACCATTTGGTAGAGTTTCCATTTTGGCCACTTTTGACACATTTTGCAAGAAGGAACCAAATTATGTTCTAGAGGTTTCCCTTTGGTTCTAAGCATCCAAGAGGCTTCTATAAGGTGCATTGGAGGTTTCAAAAGCATTGGTTTACTTTTGTTGCAAGTTTCTTGAAAATTTGCACGGGAGCTTCATGAGGTAAGCTTCCAAAGAACTTGAACTTTAAGAAATATGCTTTACTTTGATGTACATTGATCATGATAATTTCATATATGTTATTTATGTTGTGTTTGGACCATTTTGTGACACTATTATTAATTGTATGATGATATAGCATAGAACTTGCAAAACCATGTCCTTTCAAGAACCACTATCGGGTTTTAAAATAGAGACACCTTTAGCTAAAACTAACACCACCACTGTGATCCTTATGGAATTTCAAGCAAGTTTCATTTTTATTTCACTTAATTTTATTAAGAAATGAGTAAGTTATGGTGCCTTTTGCAAATGGACACAAACTTGAGTTTTCCCCAGCCATAGCCATGGCGCCTTTGTTCAGGTGACTAGGATATGTCCACCCTGTCGCTACGCGAAAAATGACACAGAGTCGCCACCGGATTTTATTTATCCCAAAGAGGGAAAGAGAAATAGCGATAAAACCTTTAGGGAAAAGAGCATGGTCATCGCAACCAAGTCTTAGGGTTCGGGAGTCGGTTATAAGAGGGGAAGGTATTAGCACCCCTCGCATCCATTGTACTCGATGGGAACCTTCTAGGTTGTTTCGCTTGAGTGGGTGTTCTTAATCTAAAAGTTTGCTTGTTTTTAAAAAGAAAGAGGGGTTGTTTTTTTATTATAGTGCTCGCCAAGGATTGTGGCCCTTATGCCTACGTATCCTCACTTAAAAGAAGTGAAGAATCAGAGCTCCGTAGTTCGGAGGCTTGTGAAATGGTTGTTTGTTGGTTGTTTTTATACCTTGAAAAAGGGTTTTCGGATTGATGCCCTAAGGTGAAAAAAAGTTTGATGAGTTGATGTTATTTTTAGGTTTTTTAAGAGAAATTGTTCTTGATTAGGATTACACAAAAGACTTTGGATATAGATGAATGTTTCGAATAACCAAGTTGAGCGCCTTGTATTTAAAACATTTGGAACGAGTGTAGGAGGGTTCCATTCTCATTCCTTCTCCACCACCTTAAAGTCCATGGTGTATAACCCTAATCACATATTTATTGTATTTTTGGATTTTTATAAGAAAAAAGCACCTCTTGATGTTGGATCAAGGGTTTTATTGTTGGTAAAAATATTTGAAGTGATGCGAACAAGGTCGATGGCGATGCACAAGGCAATCGTCTTACAAGGTTGAAATGGCTCGATAAACCCTAAAACAAATTGCAATTTCCTCCTAATGCAAAGTGTTTATAAAATAATAATTTTAGAATTCTTTGAGCGTTATGTGAAAATACACATTAATATGAGAATTTAGAAAAAAGAATCACCCAAAAAGGATTAAAAATGAAGGAGTTATGATTAATTGAAATTAAATGAAATTAAATAAAACCATGTGCTAAAAAATAAGAAATGCCTCACCCAAGGCTTGAACCCAAGACCTTGGGGTCATAGGCTCAAAATCATGCCAAACCAACCACTTTCACGCGCATGAAAGGTAATGGAAAAACAAGTAAAAATACCAAATACTTGGAAAATCAATAAAATGGCAAAAAATGCCCTCACTGAGGGTCGAACACAGGTTCACGCGCATTACAAAGTACTTATGAGCAAGGCAATTAACACTAGGGTGATGATACATCCATTGTATCAAGCCACCCCATTAAATCAAATACCTAAAGGGTGTTTTTCTGGGCAATCTCATGGCCAAAACCAAGTGAAACATCAAAAACGATTTGGTTCCAAAATCTTCAAATCTTAACCAAATTTAACAAAATTAAAGTCAAAACCACTTGATTTTTCATGAGGTTTGCAATGGTATCAACCATATTTAAAAAAGATCCTCCTAGCTGAAAACACGATTGGTCATGCAATGAAGGATATTGAGATGCATTTTGAGTCTAAAGTTTACAAACTGATGTAATTAATGGTAGGAGATGGTTTGAGCAAATTCTAAATGTGATATGGAATGTGTCTCAACAGAAAGTTTGTTCAGAATGCATCAGAGCCAAAATGTGAGTGGTTGGTTAATTATGAACATAACCAAACCAGCACAAGGTGATCACCAAAAGAAAGATTTAAAACACCAAACATAGGCCTGCTTCTTATGATGACTTTAAGCAACAGATCTCATAATCCTACTGAGGAAGGATATGACTTTTGTGAATACAAACCAAACTCAATACATTTGTAACAAAGGATCCTCCCAAAGCAGCAAAGGTTCAACAAGCATTTTGAAATAGACAATGTGAAAGCAAACAAACTCAAAGGCAAAACAGTGCTTGCCAACCTAGACTGTAAGTAAACAAATGACTCAGCATAAAATAAATTGCAACGGCAACTTGAACTTGACAGCACAGAGGCTATCATTAATGTACCCAAACAAACATTCAACTGCTTTGACAGAAACATAGACATGTAC